GTGATGCCATGGCACTCTACCCAGGGGGATAGCTTGAGGCTCCGTCTCAAAAACAAACAAACAAAAAAAACCAACAACAAAAAAAAAACTGCCATTTGGTTGATAAATCAAAATTGCAACTTTGTGTTAAGGAAAATAGTTATTTAATGGAATGTGTGTCTCTGACTGAGGAGCCCCTCATGCCAGCCAGTGCATCCACAGTGGCCTGCTGGGCCCCAGGCTATGTCTGCTGCCTGCTGAACCTGTGCTCTCCCCCCAGGGTGTAATCCTTGTCTACGACATTGCGAACCGCTGGTCTTTTGATGGCATCAATCGATGGATTAAGGAGATTGACGAGGTATGATACACAGATGCCATTGCCTGGTTCTGTGTGGGCTTGGGAGGACTTCGGGCTGGGGGCTGGTGTATACAACATGGGGGCCAGAGCACAAGGCAGGGGCTTTTGTACCACAAGGATGTCGCCTCACAACACAGCACTGGGCTGGGCCCATGGGTGTCACCACAGAGGCGCGTTGGCTATGCCTGTGGCCAGGCTCCGTGGTTGGGCCTGCATTACTCCCTGCTGTGGGGTGGAGGGTCAATTGCTTGGTGGTGCATGACCAGCCATGCTGGCAATAGGGACATGGGGTGGTTAGTACAAGTCCACTGCATCAGTGTCCTGTGGCTGCTGGGACAGATGGCCACAAATGGGGTCTTTATTCCCAGTTACAGAAGAAGGTGTGGGCAGGGCCACACTCCCTCTGAGTGCTCTGGCTGGGTCCTTCTCGGCCTCAGCTCCTGGTGGTAGCCAGCAGTCCTTGCTGTCCCTTGTCTGTTTTCTGTGTGTCTCTGTTATCTCCTCTCCTCAGAGGGACAGTCATTAGATGAGGGCCCACCCTCATTCAATGGACCCTCATCTTAGCTGATTACACCTATAAAGAATTTCCAAATAAGATCTCATTCTTTTAAAAAAATATATGTATTATTTTACTTTAATAGATTTGGGGGTATAAGCTGAGTTTCATTGTATGAGTAGTGCAGTGGCAAGGCCTGGCTGTGGCCCGATAGTGTCCACTATGCCCCACAGCACTGAAACCCCAGTGTCTGCCACACTACTCTATGCCTCGTGTCAAATAAGACCCAGTCTGAAGTTCTGGTGGGGAAGAACCTAAGCACCCAATCCACGTCACCAATGGCAAAGTCCCACCCGAATGACACCCTTCCCTTCCCTTTCTTCTACTTTCAGCATGCCCCCGGGGTCCCTAAGATCCTGGTGGGGAACCGGCTCCATCTGGCCTTCAAGCGACAGGTGCCCACGGAGCAGGCCCAGGCCTATGCAGAGCGCCTGGGTGTGACTTTCTTTGAGGTCAGCCCTCTCTGCAACTTCAACGTCACAGAGTCCTTCACAGAGCTGGCCAGGACTGTGCTGCTGCGGCATGGGATGGACCGGCTCTGGAGGCCGAGCAAAGGTAGGCAGGGCCCATGTCTGCCCCAAGAGAAATAAGACACATTTTTTTGGCTCCGTGCCCATAGCACAGTGGTTACCACGCCAGCCACATATACCAAGGCTGGAGAGTTTGAATCTGGCCCGGGCCAGCTAAACAACAATGACAACTGCAACAGGAAAATAGCCAGGTCTTGTGGTGGGCACCTGTAGTCCAAGCTATATGGGAGGCTGAGGCAAGAGAATCGCTTAAGCTCAAGAGTTGGGGGTTGCTGTAAGCTGAGATGCCATGGCACTCTACCCAGGGTGATGTAGTGAGATTCTGTCCAAAAAATAAAAAAAAACCACATTTCTGAAATGACAGCTTTGTCAGAAAGCTGATGACAGGAATTTCTGAAACCTGCCCTTGGGCAAAAGTGGAGTCATGCAGGTTTTCCTGCTTTTGTAACGGTGTCCCCAACATCCCTGCAGGGAGGGAAGGTGAGGGTGCCACCTGGGACAGCCCCACAGTCCCCAGGGGCTTAGACCCTTTCCTCTAAGCCTGGTCTGTCCTTCCTAAGTGCTGAGCCTGCAAGACCTGTGCTGCCGTGTGGTAGTGTCCTGCACACCTGTGCACCTGGTGGACAAGCTCCCACTGCCGATGGCCTTGCGAAGCCACCTCAAGTCTTTCTCCATGGCCAGTGGCCTGAATGCCAGGATGATGCACGGCCGCTCCTACTCTCTGGCTGCCAGTACCATTCACAAGAGGAGCAGTTTCCGCAAGGTGAAGGTTGTCTGCCCACCCCAAAGCCCTCCCAAAAACTGCACCAGAAATGGCTGCAAAATTTCTTAAGGAAGCCACTAAAAATTGACACACTGGACTCTGTCCAGGAGCAACTCTGAGTAGTCATGCCTGGAGGACGCTGACACAGCCTAGATCCAGGAAGCATGTCTCGCTTTCTCCTGGTGATAAAGCTGCATGGGGATGCCTGTGCCACTTCCTGCAGTGAGAACATACAATTTAGTTTGACTGCGGACTTCTACTTGGACGTGTATGAAGTCTGTGTTTCAAATGAGTGTGTATAAGGGGAAAATGAGTGTTCTGTGCACTCCTGATAATATGGAATGTTGAATGCTACTTATGTCATGATTGCACTGCAACACTTTCTTTAAAATAATTGCTTTTAGGCCTGGCACGGTGGCTCATGCCTGTAATCCCAGCCCCTGGGAGGCCAGGCAGGTGGATTGCCTGAACTCACAGGTTCGAGACCAGGCTGAGACAGAGCGAGACCTCGTCTGTAAAAATAGCTGGGCGTTGTGGCAGGTGCCACAACTACTGGGGAGGCTGAGTCAAGAGAATCGCTTAAGCCAAATGAGGTTGCTATGAGCTAAGACGCCATGATACTGTCACTGAGGGTGACAAAGTGAGACTCTGTCTCAAAAGAAAAAAAAATACCTGCTTTTATGCAGTGAAAAGCATAAATTCAAGGGGATTCAAGAAGTAATGATACTGAGATAATTTAGAGTCATTGATATTACAAGGCAGGTCTTTTTGTGAACCACCTTTTTAATGTTTAAGCACCAAACTGTACAATGCTGCTGCAACAGGCCTGCCCAGTTTGTGTATGAAATGGTTTGGTAAAGTATTTACTACATTATGTACTACACATGGGGTTTGGTAAATGATTTATATGCATATTTTCTGTAAATCTACATTTTTTTACAAGATGTTCTACAACTTACGAAGCTAAGAGAAGTCAATGCCAAAGATCTCTCTGGTTGTGTTGATGTGGCCGACACAGCTCAAAAGACCCACAAGGAAATGGTGCAGTAAGGAATGAAGTATACACTTATTTAAGAAAAAGTTTGTAAGTAATAAAATGTTACACTGTTTCTCTCTTGGCAGAGTTGCTGGCTGGTTCTTTCTGACTTTGTGTACTTATCATAACCCTTAACTTCACTTGCTTTATTGGTGCCTGGTGTAGACTTCACTTATCAGCACTGGTTGAAAGAGATTAGTTTTCCTGAAAAGAAATGTAGAGGAAAGAAGTGAGAAATGTTACAAATGACACCAAAGCATGTGCCTGTCCAGCAAGTCTCCCCAAGGTGCTTGGAGATGTCAGGAGGGTTCCCAGGAGGCCCCCCAGCCACATGCCACAACTGGCTGACTTGGCAGCATCTGCAGGTCTCTCTCTTGACCTCTCTGTGGCACCTAGAAGTTATCGTGAGAACTGAACAAAAAAATCTTCAAATGAGAAAGTACCCAGATATCCCCAGTCTGTTAGAGATTCTGTTAGAGATTTTTAGAAATTAAGGCACCAAATGTCCAGAGCAGTGCCTTCCTTCAGAGGTGACAGAAGGAGGCCCAGAGGGGAGAAGCACTCGCCCCTGAAGGCCTGGAGTCAGGGTGGGTCTCTGGCCCTTTGGGTATATCTGTGGACAGCAGGTAACCACTGAGGGTTTGGGGACATCTTGAGACCCTTGCATCCATGAGGGAGGACATGGCTAGGGATAGCTGAGCTCAGTGGCAGCCAGGCATGGCATTTCTTGGGCATATTTACAAACAGGGGAGCTATAAGGAGAGGCCCAAATTAAAGGAAACCCCTGCAGCAGCCTCTCTTCCTCCCCTTTGAAGACAACCCTCCTGCCTTGCTTGGCTTGGTGGTGGAAGGTGGGGACTTTAGCCCCTAGTGTCAGGATTAAACCAGGACAGCTGGTGTCTTTGCTCCTTTCCC